GAGTTTAAGGGGAACCTTTATTCTACTCAGTCTGGAACAGTTGGATCTAGTTTCTCACATCCCTCTATTGCATGAAAGAATCCTCTTATTACGAATGATTTCTCTTTGTTATATCCAGAAGGACATTTGTTTGGCAACACTGTTAGCCATTAATTTATTCCATAATATTTCAAGCAGTCAAATCACTCATTCATTTAAAACATTCTATAATTTAAGACAGACATAGGGTACTTCATTCCTCATCTGTATTCCAAGCATTCAGAAAAGATCTGGTAGTGAAGTTTGGCTTGTATATTCAAGATGGAGAACCTCTTAACTCAAAATAGCAAACGTGTAGATCAAGTGTCCTTTTAAGAGGGAGGCACTATTAACCTCGTTACTGATGAGAAACAAACTAAAATAGGAAATACATCATTTCTGTGACTCCCAACTACACATCCCTCAGAATGAACCTAAGAAAGCGGGACCCTGGAAAGACTGATTTAACTGGAGTAAACACAGTGATGTTATTTAAAACGTAATAAACATAAGAACAAAATAACAGGAGGGTCCAGTTTCATTCTGCCGCTTTCCTGCGGTCTGTGGACCATGCGCTGTAGGGCAGATGCCTGACAGAGGGGCCGTGGCTGTCGGCCAACCTCACCAGTTGTAAAGGGAGATACACAAAACATCATGGATTCACAAGGGTGGGGATTCATAATTTGCATAAGCAAAAAAAATTTTTTTTTAACTTTTCATTTATATTGCCAAGTTCCTCTGTTTGTTTTCTAGTGATCTCTGTTGGAGAATATAAATCTGTGGCTTAAGGAGTGTTTGGTGCACAGACTTGTATGAATAATTGGATATTCTATTTCAAATTAGAGGCTAGGGCTACAGGGCCAACTGTTCTGTTTTCTAGCTCACATCTTCTTTTGGCCAGCTGGGATGAAGTGGAGGCTGAGAAAGGAGACACAGCATTTCTGCATTTAAACATAATTTTTTTAAAAAATTGAAAAAAAAAAATTGGAGCTAGCTCTTAAAAATAAACATAATTTAGTTCAGGGCAATGATTTTTAAAGTTTCTGGACTTGTAACACACTCTTGGTTTTATTAGACACTCTCCTGTATTCCTTCCTTGCCTGTCTAAAAAGGATGAGAACGTGAGGATCCTCTAGGGCACCCTGGGAGCCCTGAGTTAGAATTTTAGGATATTTGGATTCCTCTCTGCTCTTGTAGCAGAATGAACAAGGCTCCCTTAGCAGAGTTCATTTGGGGGGCAGGGTCGAAAGGGGACTTCAGGTTTATCTCTCACCAGAGCCTTCCCAGTTTCCTTCTCTTCTGTCCAGAGAAGTGTGTGGTAGAGGATCGAAGAGGAACACAGGAGGGGCGCCTGGGTGGCGCAGTCGATTAGGCATCCGACTCTTGATCTCAGCTCAGGCCTTGATCTCAGGGTCATGAGTTCAAGCCTTGTGTTGGCCTCACACTGGTTATGGAACCTACTTTAAAAACAAAAAAAAAAAGAAGAGGAATACAGGAGGTTCATCTAAGGGGGGGGGCATTTTGGAGAAGACCCCAGGCTCTTTGGTGCTGGGCTCTCTGGATGGGAGAGCACAGGCTGCCCTGCCTCTAGGAGATCTTGTCTCTGCATGAGGACCGTGCTAACCATCGCTGCTTCAGGAGCCACCAGGCCCAGCGCCTGGCCTAGTCCCTGTTGGTTATCCCATCTCTTCCCAAGAGAGCTTGAAGGCTCTGTTCTGAGAGAACTAGCCCAGAGAGTTTTTAGGTACATCTCTAGAGAAAGGAAGAAAGGAACGTTTCAGCTTTCAGAGGTGAAAGGAAAAGGATTTTAGAGCTAAATCTGGTGAGAAGAGCAGATCCTGAACAAAATTCTAAAAAGAATTTACTAAAAGAATGACATTCGAGCACCTAAAAAAGGAGAATTAAAATGACAAACCATGACTCTACGGTCTTGGTATTTGGCAAATACTTTCCCAAAACTGAATGAAACGAAGCTCAAGGAAAATATTTGACAGTGTGTTAGCTGCCAGTGAAAAAGTTCAAGCTTTCAAGTGAAAATTAGAAGTTTGGAAAATTTGTATCCTCCACCATGCGCTTGACACTTCCCGATGTTTAATAACTTCTGATGAGATCAGCGACAATACTGACAAATGTGATTCTTTTTTTATATTATAATGCAATGTGTCAAAATTTAGAATATCTGCATAACTCAGTGAACCAGTATTTTCCCCGGACAGTGGATACAGAATCACACATGGATAAAAGGTCCAATCAGAGTGCAGGAGAGAGATGCTAAAGAGTAAGAAGCGTGGTCCAAGAGGCTGCATTACAACTAGCCTTTAAGAAATTACCACTTGTTCAGTTTTGGTGTGTATCAAAGAAGAATAGCCATAATTACCTGAAGAGTCTAATGAAATACCCTGCCCTTTTCCAGTTTCATATCTATGTGAGGATGGACTTTTTTCTAAACCAAGACATAACATACTGAATGCAGAAGTAGATATGAGAGGGGCGCCTAGGTGGCTCAGTCAGTTAAGCATCTGCCTTCAGCTCAGGTCATGATCTCAGGGTCCTGGGATCGAGCCCTGTGTTGGGGGGAGGGGCTGTGTCCCTGCTCAGCAGGGAGTCTGCGTCTCCCTCTGCCTGTCCCCTCTGGTCATGCACGTGCACTCTCTCAAATAAATAAATAAAATCTTTAAAAAGAAAAAAAGAAGTAGATATGACAATTCAGCTGTACTTCTAAGCCAGATGTGAAAAAGATTTGCAAAAATGTGAGACAGTGTCACTCTTTTCACTAAATTTTTATTTTATTAAGAAAAAATAACTATTTGTAATAAAATTATTTTATATAAAATATAAAATACTAATATTTGAAAATTTCTGTTTAATTTCTAATATCAGTAATCAGTAGATATAACCCACATGAACAAAAGCTCTTTGGGGTCCTTAGTAATTTAGAGCGTAAAGAGATCCTGAGACCAAAAAACATTTGGGAACCACTGATTTCAGCCCCCCATACCTATCCTGTTTAACCATGCATTAATACTTGGATTATGAAGGTCTATAATGCACATTTTTATTTTATTTTTTCTTTTTAAGATTTTATTTATTTGAGAGAGAGCACATGAGAGGGGGGAGGGTCAGGGAGAAGCAGACTCCCCGCTGAGCAGGGAGCCCGATGCGGGACTCGATCCTGGGACTCCAGGATCATGACCTGAGCTGAACTCAGTCACTCAAGCAACTGAGCCACCCAGGCGCCCTATAATGCACATTTTTAAATGTGCATAAAAAGAAATTTGAAGATGAGAACAGCCTTTCAGTGGTTCTAACATCTTCCTACCCTCCCAGGGCCAGACCTTGGGGCCAGATGATTAGCCTAAGACTGGATGGCTATACACCTGAAATGTTAATTCAGTAGAAAACCAGGGGGTCAAGAACTTAAAAGGGAGCACAGCCAAAGTGCTGCCGACAAAGTTTTTCATCACTACCGGTGGTTCCACGGATGCAAAGCCTGATGACATCGACACGGTGTCCAGAGCGTGTGGCAGAAGTGGTGACCAGGCACAGGACAGATTCCAGTGCTTTGGGAAAAGATGCCTGATAAACGAACTTGAAGGCAAAGAGTTGTAAGGCTTTGACAGACTGATTTATACCCCTCTTTGATGGGAATGCGCCCGGGGACGGTGAGCTTATGCTGTTCTCAGATCCTTTGTCCCTATTAGGGTCTCATTCCAGAACCTCATCCACTGACATGGAGAGGAGCATCTTGGATGACAGCCTGCCTCCGTGCAGGGCTCCGTGTACAGCCCTAAATGGACCTTCACACCAAGCCAAGCGTGGGCTTTGGGGGTTGTATCCATTTCCACAAGATGGTGGTATCCCTGAGCCGTGGGCTTGGGACTCCTTGTGCTCCGGCAGTGACCAGAATCCTCTCTTATCCTGAGGAGAAGTGCTGCCATCTCTGGGGGTCGAGCCCACCCTTGCAGAGGAAGCTGCTCGTTGGGGGGACTTGTGAGGCGCCTGTTCTTTCTGTAGATACACTAGGACCCTCTCCACGGAGAAGACTCTTCTTACAGGCTTTAGAGCCATTCTGTCCTCTCAAAATGATGCCGTCTCTGCAGGGATGTGTTGAGTTTTTGAAGTTTAAGTCTCTCAAGGCAGCTCGCTGTCTTTTCACACCCTCTGTTGAGGGGGCGCCTCGCTGTAACTCTGCCAGCACTGAAAACGGCCGCTCTCACGTCTCCCGCTCCTCTCCTTTGCCCTAGTCGATTCTCTTCGTTTCCGTGAGAAGTCAGCCTCCTTAGGGTCACCTGCTGCTGTTTACTTTTAATTGTCTGGTTAATCCCAATGTCATATTATGACAGACACGAGCAGACATTAGATGGGGGAGAGAACAGTACTGGGGCACCAAAGAAAATGAGGATGAACTGCTCTGCTTGACACCAGGGGTGGGGGTTAATCAAGGCAGTGATTTTTATAAAAAAGAGGAGGACGTGGTCTAGGAGGAGAGCTGGGTTTACAGATTCCATCTTTTGCCCCCGCGACTGGGTGACCTCGGGCAGCCGCTGGGCCTGCGTGAGCCTCCATTTTCTTCTGTCAAAGAGGACATAACACAGCTGTCTGGTCCAGAGGATCCCTCATTTGGGCATCCAGTCCTGCTTTACACCCACCTCTATCCTCCTTGCTGTTCTGTGCTTCAGATTTTTAGGCTAATTTTTTTGCTCAAGTGAATCTAGAATTAGCACATGAACTAGTCTAACGTTTGGAGCCTGACTCTGATGAGAAAGCAGGTGGAGCTTCTAGACGGATTATGGTGGTGTCCTACCCCCTCCTGATCTGTATCTGTTCTGACTTCCTTATCTGTCTCCTGTGAGTATTGCCTGGGAGGTGGGCCCATCTTAATAATTTGAATGAAGAGAGTGAACATGATATTAGATACATTTTACTCAGCACAAGAATGCGTTGTTCCCAATTGTTCTCATACTTATGTTTTCTCTTTCCAGGGATCAGCATCTTCTGGACCCAACTCTGGAATATGTGAAGGTAGGAAACCAGGATTTAAGGTGGAACTAGGACCCTGTGTAATAGATTTCCCATTTTTAACACAGTGTTGCCAAATAATGCTGCAGTCTGGTTTGTGTAGGAAGCTGCTCAGACTGGAACAACCAGGGGGTAATTTGACTCTCTTAGGCCTTCAGTTACTTTTGTAGGGGTCTTATGTCATCCTATTATAGGTCTACAGTCTTTTTCCTCCTATCTGAAACCCTTGGGGGTTAGATGGGTTTTAAAATTCAGAATTGTTTTTGAAAGGTAATATGGTACACATATATAACATCCTCAAAGGGGTCTAGCTGGGCCAGCACTCCAGACTCAAATGCATTATTTTAGCAGTGAGATGGAAGAATATTCACACAAAGTGGGATAAATAGACTACAAATGATTTTATGTAGCTCAGCTCATGCTTTGCCACCAAAAGAGGTCAGGTTTGTTTTGCTGCCAAATGACTTAAAATTTTTCAGTTTTCAGAGTGTTTTGGCTTTTAGGGATAGTGGATAATGAATTGTGAGCCTGAGTTTATCTTCAGTGGAGGACTGCAGGCTCCCTGAGGTTTTCTGAGTCAGCCTTCCGTTCCGACAGCCACTGTCCTGTGTAGTAGCTCATCTAGGACCAGGAGCTGTGGTCATATGCTGCTTTCCAGTGGGGCTGCCATTCAGTGCCTCTAAATAGTCAATACTCTGAAACAATGATTTCCTTCTGAGCAGAAAGAAAAGATGCTTTTCAGCACCACCACCCCCATTTTTGGGGGGTGTTTATGTTTGCTTTATTTTATTTTTGAGAACTGAAATCTGGTACCTACTACAGAAAAGAGAACTCTGATTTGTCACACTTCGTTTCTTGGATTTATGACAACATACGTCCTTAACTTTTAGGACAAATCATGGCATGTGTTAAATTTGAAGGTGCTTGCGTCCCAGGAGCCACATTCCATCCTCTTTATTCCAAGGGCAGTGTCACAGTTTGGGAGTATTTGGATAGATAGTTTTTTTTTTTTCGTGTTGTTTTTCGACTGTTGTTTTTTCGTGTCCCTGTTGGCATTTTTTCTCTCTTTAGACCAGAGGATGGATGATAGAGGAGAAACCTATAGTAGAATCACTTAGTGGCTTGAAGTAGTCATAATAAAGCTTGTTGGAATGGAAGCGGGTATTCTTTTTTCCTCCCTCTCATTCCCAGTCTATGTCTGAGCTGTAGTTATCAGTGCAGCAAATGTACAATCCTAAGCCAGCATGGCTGTCATGTCAGAATCACGAGAGAGCTTTATAAATGATGTCTAGGTGCCTCTGGGTGCATCTTTTTATGCAGGTTGTACGCTGCAAAGCATTCGGGGGGTGCTATTCACAGAGACTGTGATTTGACTTGAGCACGACATAAAAAATGTGCCCTAGAATCAGGCAGTGTGTAAATCACAGCAGCCCTTTAAAAGCCACCCATGCCGTGTTTCCGAAAGTGGCTGTCTGCTGCTGCGGGCTCGCTGTGGGCTCCCGCACTCCAGTAGCCTGGTTTTCCTTTCACACTGTCCAAGCCTTTAAGATAATCTGATGATGAATTCTAAAGCTAAGCATAGATTCTGGAATGATCTGTTTTAGTATTCTTTAAGCTGTTGTGTCGCATTCATGAATGTCGGTCATTCTGAGTTGAGTTGTGTTGGGTAAGAAGAGATATTGGGGTTCTCGGTGGTGTCTGTCTTGCTCGGCAGTCTTTGTCTTCCCCAGCAGTGAGAGGTGATGGGACCGCCCTTAGTGGCTGGAGGGTACTTCTTTCCAAGGTCCTGTTGAGGTGTTCTGAAGGTCACTCTTTGCTCCCAGCCTTGTCTCAATCTAGTCAGGGCTTTATAAATGAACTCTCTGTGCTCCCGGATGCATATGTGCATATATATATGTATTTTATCCTCATTTTGCCCCTGGTTTGGAGGGATGGTTTGGGGATTTGTTGGGCGAATGTGGGGTATTTTCGTTTGCTTCTATGGTCACTGAAGCTCTGAAAGCACGTTCATGGAGGCCTTTGACCTCAAGGTCTAAATGGACCCATGTGTCATGCTTCTTGGGCCCGTGCAGGCTCATCCTAGCCTTTCTCAGACTTGGCCGCCCTCTCGAGCCTGGCTGACGAGTCCATGTCATGAAGGCCTTGTAAATCGGTGCCAGCTGGTGCCTAGTGATTTGGAGAGTGACAGAAAATAATCAAGGGAGGTGAGATAGTTATAGACAAACTGGGATGCAGTTTGGTGCCCCCTGACTTTGAGCTGTTACTTCCCTCCAAGCCCTTGGTGCATTTAATGCCTCTTGGGCATGTAGAAAAGTAGAGATTCTTTGTAAAATTCATTACATCACGTAGGGTCCCCTTCTGGTAGAGTCAGATTTATCAGCCTAAAAAAACAAGATGCAAAAGAGCACATTTTTAGGGACCTCATAATGGGGGTAGTCTGATCTCTGGTGGAGATCTCTGGATCTCTGTCTTCAGTTGCCTTCTCCTTCCCATGGGAGACTTTCTAACCATCCTCACCTGGTTTTCCCAGTGCCAGGGAGGGAGGGAGAGAGGGAGGGATCTATCTATCTATCTATCTGGGACTGGCTTCGCCTCCGTGGGCCTGGGGGAACTGAGGCACTGGGGGTGGGAGGCGCTGGGGCTGCAGTATTGTGGTGGAGAGAGCTGGGTAGAGAATGAATCCAAAATTCACTTCTGTCCAGTTTGGACTCTGTGTCCTCCTAACACCCTGTGCAGTTTGTAAGGAATGGCATTAATTCGGCGTGAAAGGGGACCAGTCTGGTCTGCGGTTGCTAGGCTACCAGGAGCTCCTCTGCTGGGGGGGGGGGCGGAGTTGGGGGGTAATGGAGGGAAATGTGCGCAGGCGGGGGAGCCCCCCAGCTGACAGAGGTTCTTTCCCTTTCCGCTGGAGCCTCCCCACAGCACCTAGACCCTACTCGCTGAATTCCGTGTTTGGATGTGATAAGAAAGTTAGAGCAGCTCCAAACCGGCCAGAGGATTTTGGAATCTCATTCGCCACTGTGTCTCTTTAATTCTGACTGTTAGAGAGGGGAGTTTTGTTTTTTCTTTTTCTACTTTTGCCTTATTTTTTGAGCCCTCACTTCTCCCTACTTCCCCGGCCCCCACAGTAGCTCAAAACATGATCATTTTGAAATTCTGATTTTAACTGTTTTGTGTAATCATGGGGTCCTTTTCTGTAATGAAATACCATTGATTGTCTTTTTCGCTGCACCGGAAAGAAACCACTTCTTCCAGGTTGGAAAGCAGAAATGTCCACAGCTGCTCCACCTTCCTTTAGTCATTTGTGACTTTGCTTAGTGGTGTACAGCTCTGGAATTTTCCTCTGCGTACCTAGCATACCTTATGGGAGATAAAAACATTTTTTTTTTTTTTTTTAAACAGAGGAAATAGCTTTTGGAGGAAATAGCCCTAGGCAAAATTGTGAGGAGGGCTTTATTTTCTGGGCTTTTTTACTTGCTCACTGCCCCATTCGGTTCTTGCCATATTTTTACCCCATTACAATGTATTTATTCAGTGTCGTTTCTTAGACCTGTGTCAGCTTAGAACCTTTGATAAAATAATTGTACTAAAATGTGAATAAGTGATAATAGCTCAGTGTGTTAACCTTTCCAGATGGCATTCCAATAGCACACTCCAAGTTACACAACCCTGAAGAACCCTCAGGGAGGGGAGCCCAGTCCACCCTCTGTGACTGTGGACTTGCCACCTTCTTTCTGTGGGTTCCATCTTCTCACAACTAGAACATCAGGGGATGGGTTAGTGTCCTTTGAACATTTTTAGGATCCTCTATACCTGTGATAGGCTGGAGGGGAAAGTTTTTTTAGCAAGCGGGAAGGGCTTCTTAATCTATCACTCTAGATCATCTGTCACTATGAGCAGAAGTGACATATTGATTGGAACATGTGTCTCAGACATTAAGACCAAGGATGTGAGAGCTAATAACTGCCCGTCTGTCATATTACCTCAAAAAATTGGGGATGTACCTCAGCACTCCTACATGTGCTCTTACCATCCATTATGCTTTCACTTTTGTAACCCCTTCTTGAACCTAGGAAACCTACTTTATTTTCACTCATTATCATTCTTTTCACTCTTTTCCTGGGGCTACTTTTTTAAGCTTCCAGAATTGCCCCCCCATACACCAAATTTTATAAATTTATATTATTTCTTGTCCTTTCCCCCTTTATACGTATCTTCCTTGTAGACTGAAGATTATTTCTAGCTTCTTCACATACGAGCCTTACAGTTATTTTAATAAAGCATCTCTTTTCTGGGAATGGTTTAAAAATACATTTTTTTAGGGGAGGTGGTAATTGGGGCAGAGCTGGGTAATTTTTCTTTTGAAAGAAATGTTTATTATAGATTTTGCATTTTTAAATGTCCTTAAGAAAGATAAATTGGAAAATAAAGCCAAGTAGAAAAGGAAATCGGGATGACTGTTTTTCAAATTAGCCAAGATGTAGGCAAGCCCCTTTTCGTGGCCAGGCTGTAAACAGCACCATGCCCGCCTGTGGACAAAGGCCTGCTCTCCAGGCGACCACAGTTAGCAAGTGTCAAGACGGAATGCAGCCTTTTGTCCCTGGCTAGCCTCCTAGTGAACAAATATCCTTTCTTTTATAGGCAGCCTGGGTGGATTCTTGCTAGAACCACTTGTGAGCTTTTATGAAATGATTTGCAGTTTCTGAGCTCCTTCGCAGGCTGGGAAAGGGACAGGACTGGGCCATTATCCTGAGTGGGGACCTGCACCTCCGACGGCTCCTTCCCCCACCTCCCACGCCTCAGTCCCCTCCCCGCGCTCCCCCCCCTCCCCAGTGCGCATAAGCAGCTCTGGAGCCAAAGTGCCTTGGCAATCAGTCCTTTATGGGGTTAATGCACTGAAATGCTGTTTCTGAGAGGGCCTTACAGATGTGACAGGCTGCCCAAGGCTCAGATCTCAGCAAGGCCTCTTCCTGCGGCCAGGCTGGGGCTACATTAGGTCACCC